GTTTCGGGGATTGAGAGCTAGGGAAGAGTTAGGACTCGTGTGATGGACGTTGTCTGATAGTATAGAGATAATCAAACACTTACTAGGCATGGGGGGATTGCTGGGGATTGCAGGAGAATAATGTTCAGCCCTCGTAGGGAGGCCCTGCACTGGATGATTGGCGTCCGAAAGTCCTAGAGTCATCGTTGGCATGGTATTGAAGGGGATAGTCTCAACAAGGCCATACCTTGTCTAAAGTCCGAAGCTGTCCCCACAGAGCTAGCATTGTAGACACTTCCGTTTGCGTAGTGATTGTTGTTGATTGTGACTGGCCCGTTGAAAACCTCGAAACGCTGGTCATTGACGCCATAGACATCGTTACAGCTGTTCTTGTGCTTGCGAGCAGAGTCCCACGCCACTGCTGTCGCTGGCGTACGTGGTTTTCTCTGGCGTATCTTTTAAGATTTGACGTAAATACCGCTGCTTCCATAATATCAAGAGGAAGAGCAAACGAACCTTGGGTGGGACCTCTGAGTTTGTGGGGAAGGGGTTGCTTTCCCAGGGCAAACTTTGCTTGGTGCTGGTTGATTGGTCTCCACTGCTCCACAGGATTCTCTCTGGTATCTCTCTACGAGACTGGTCACAAACGATGTGGTGCTGATGACGATGCGTGGAGGAGCGCGTTCGGGATGTGATTTGAGGTTGTTGCCATACTGGGACAGTGTTGCCGGATTGGTCGGTCACATAAGAAACAGCTGGTGGCGCTGGCATACGAGCGTAACTTCGCCTCGGAGTATGAATATTCGGTGAGCTTCGACTTGGAGGCATAGCTCATTCAAGTCGGGGAGGGAAGGGGAAGGGGAAGGGGAAGGGGGAGAAATCGTCGGAGGAGCTGGACCTTTTAAATAAACTACCATATGAAGAAAACGAAGCTACTAATCGCGTGTCAATTAAGAGATCTCAACGCCCGACCTAGTCTGTCTTTACCGCCTTAGTCATCGCGGAGGGTGAGTGAGACTCGTGTATTGGTCGTGCATAACCTGGAAAAATCTTTCGAATAGCATGTATCTCGCATGTCCAGCTCGGGCTAGTGATTTGCAAGTCCGTAGACATCGAACAGAAAAGAGTTGAACAAAACCAAAGAACGCGTGAATATATGCAGACTGATCAACATACTACTACAGTGTTAGTATCAAACACATGCTCAACACGCCGAATATCTTTGCGGCAGGTACCAAAACCCTAATTAGGGTCGGCCCAAGAGACCTAACTCAAACCAGATATCCGGTTAATTACCCGGCGACTTGAGTCCTTGATCGTCATTTGATTCTTGATCTAACCATCCCGCTTACTTACATCCGTTTAGTGACCGATACTTCGGTGAACATCAGTTGAATCGCGACGGGTAATACAACCGGCGACGCACTGGCCACACGCCAGAACGAGACAATAATAATGGTATTCCCATGTCGAACCCTCAGAAAGCCAGGACTGCGACTTTCAGGACTGGTGTCGGATAGGGAAAAGATTGGGAAGAAATGACAGGTTCCCAGTCCGGACTTATTATTGTTCAAGGCCTAAAAAGATACTTTGTGGGGTTGGCCCTGAGCCCTCGTTATGATTGTCCCTTTCTGGTGTGTGTACGTTGTGGACTCGTAGTTATTTTGTGGCTCGGGCTACACTCAACTTGAGTTCTTTGTGGCACTTTGGATGATTTCTTTTACAGTCAGGTTCGCCGAGGTAGTTTAACCCGCCCTTTGTCCATAGTCAGAGGCATATGTTGGAAGTTGGAACCAGCTCCAACCGTTGTGGACGGCAGAATGACTCGAACGTGCGTGTGGAATGGACACTTATCGTTCCCGTCCCTTTTGATACGGTCGTTACGAGGTCCGGATGATTGCATCTCGTGCACTATACACGCCCCCCAAGCGCTCCGAACCTTGATAATAATCCACGAGCGCTTGAGCAGTAAGGGATGGCGATAGCGTCAGAGGCGACCTCAACGCAGATGGGAATGTGGCCGTTGGAGAAAAAAGACAATACATACCGCTATTGGCGCCAGGAGTTGAACTAGGATCAAGACATGCGCACACAACTTTTGTTTTGTTTTGGAAGGTTGTCGAGATATGTGAGCACGGATCAACGATAAATTACTGCAATCCAAGCGCAATCCGCACGGTGTTCATACCACGAGCCGGATCGAGACCCGTCGATCATCAATGCATCAAATTTGGCTTCATGAGGCCCGGACCTGAACTTGCCGTATGCCTCGGTCTCAATACGACCCCAACAAGCGGTGTAGGCGGGATTTAATGTCTTGCAAAACCGAAGGAGCTTACCTGGCGGTCAAAGCGGCCCAGATCTTAGATCCCATTTGACCCTCGAACATCGAGTATAATATTCAATATTGGACGTCGGCGCAGCTCCTGCAAGATGGTTGAGTCGTGCTCACTGCTCAGCAAGCTATGCCGCTTCACTAATTGTTTTTTTGGACATAGGAAACGTCAGAATTATTATGTGTCTTCGATATCTTGACCTTCAGTCGTGCTCCTCGTCGGCGGCCCAAACTATTAAGGAACATACCTGTATGTTGTACACGTAAATAACAGCCTCCGAGCCGAAACTTGGTGCTACTGTACCGGAATGGGCAATGGTGCCCTTGAAGGTTGTTGTCTCTGGGAGCGTGATAGGCCTCTGTCTGTGAGTACTTGAGTTGTAACAGAAATACCATCACGTCGAAGGTGATGCATATAGTCCACCCAGTAGTTAGGGAAATGCGCCGTCAGCGAGCGATGAGCCACTGAAGTCTTGTGGATCTCTGTAACAGATGCGCTCAGGCTGTCTCGAATGGGGGTAACAATTGGACCCTCATCCTGGGAACTTTCCCGTCAATGGGGAAAGTAGCTAGCACCCGTGCAACGAGTTATGACTCTAGGCTATGTGCGGTGGCAGCTACCTTCTATCAAAGGATATGTCAGGCGCACGTTGGATCTGACCAGATAATGATTGATGATTCTTGATATCATGGGGTGCGAGCAATCAGCTGCAGCGCTTGGCATCTGTGAACATGAGTTTCGACGACGGATCTTGATGAGTCTGACCTCTGGAGCAAAACAAACAAGGTGGAACGAGGACGACGTAACCTTATATCCATCAAAACATATGTCCCATGAGTCTCTTCGTCTCCATTTGTGCCGACAAAAGGTCAGGACATCCAGGTCTTGTGTCACTTCGGTCGGTGATATACGGAGAGGAATTGACTTGCGGGTGCAGAGAAAGGGCGGGATCATGGCAGTAAGAAGAAAAGGAAAAGCCCAATTTCGGAGTCACGATAAGGTTTGAGGCAAAGGGTTCCGGTTAATCGCGGCGAGCACCGAATAGACCAGGCTAAAGACAAATGTCAGAAACATCGGGTGAGAAAAGCCCATGCTGGATCTCGAGAGTCGAGACGGGAATTGAATAAGCAAAATGCCTTCCCAGCAGTGTCATCGATTGATGCTAACTGTATGAGCTCCATTCTCGAGTCGCAATAAGTGGCACGGAAGTTTGTCATTGGTGGGGGTGCTGGTGAGTGAAGTCACTGACTCAGAATGTGGACGTTTGGCCCGTACAGTGTGCATAAAATGCCGAATTAGGCCCACCTTCGAGTATCGAGACCTGCAGCGTTCCTGACCCAACACACACCGACGACTACGGCGAAGGCTTTCCGACGAGCGCGTTACTTACTATTTAGCCCAGCCAACGTGTAAGGGAGAAGATTGAAAAGATGAACATTAGAAACCATAGTAGCAACTTATTTCGATCAAGTGACCTCGGAGTTCGCAATGGCGACTATCGCCCCTTGAATGTCCGGGTCCTGCGGCCCCGTTGGGCTAGACGCGGGAATCTGTTGGGCGTTTGTGAAGTTCCCGAGTCGAAAGTGCCGGAAATGTGAATAATGTCGTCAGGGTATCGATCTGGTGCTGTGAGCTCACCTGTTTCCCAAGTCAAAAGTCGCGTATTCGGTCCCATCGTATCACTTGGGCCTCGATTCGCATCGGTTGGTCCCAGCGACTGAGTCTGCCATGCTTCGAACCTGTTGATAGTTTCCATGCAGTTCTCCGAGAATATGGATGACGCCCCCGTTGATTTTTTCTGGTGCCAAGTGGGAACGCCGATGGTGATTCCTGGTAGTAATCCGAGTCTTCTCAACACGCGCAGCCGGCCATCGATTCTCCTCTCCATTTGTCTTTGGAGGCCTTGTTGACCCGGTGTAGAGATCAGGTAGGAAGAAGGAAAGGAGCGACGTCGGCCAGATCATAGCTGAATCAACCAAGAAAACGCGCACGCTGGCGAACGGGAATAGCTAAGTGCTAAGACTCAGAGGGGCCGAGGCTCAAAGGCGTCGCCTTTCCGTACGTGCGTGGGCCCCTTGTTCAATGCTGGATCCGACACCTTCCTCTTTCTCTTTTCGACAAGGAGTCATTGAGGCAGAGACGACGGACATACCTGCAACCCAGCTGAAGGTTCCAAATTGCATATTTTCCCCCTTCCAAACCTCTATTGTGTAGCTCTCCTCTCATGAGTCTTGAAGCTTGAAGTTCGAATCCCTCCCGGCCTCAAACGCGTTCTTGAGCGACGAGTTGAAAAAAAATAATCCACGGTTTATGGCAGTGTAAGAGGAAGAGAATTTCGAACGGCTGAATTAAACAAACGGTATGGCAGACTGCAGCCTTCACCTTTGGCAGAGGAAAAGAAAAAGTTGAATATTATAGTGAGCACTTCAATGGATAATGGAGTGAGTCGACTGTGGTGGTATATTGGAAAGAATTCATCATGATCGAGATCACCCGACCAATTGCCAATATCGAATTTACCTCAGGCATCGGCGCTTTCACAGGGGGGCACCAGAGAACGGAACCACTTGGCACTACGATATGGCAAGTAGGTATGGCCATCACGGTCTTCTTCCACTAGCTGTGTGGTTCTCGGTATACCCAGAATTTGTAGGATGAAAAAGAAATCCTACCGTAGAAGAGTAGTAGCAGCAACTTGTTTCGATCAAGTGACCTCGGGGTTCCATGGACAGTTGCATAGACATTGTATATGGGCCCCGCGCGCTACCACTGCGCCATGCTGCTAAGTACAAGAGCGGCCTGCTCAGGCATGATACCGAGCGGTCTTGATGCGCCGTTCCTGTTACAGCAAGCACGTCATTAGATTCGTATGTAAGAGGCGGAGGATGATAAGTATGTACTAATAATTTTCGGGAAGTTGGCCAGGTAAGCGGTTTGACGCCGTTATTTTGGTAGACTCAGTTACACTTGGGCAGCGAGTGATTTGATAGTACTTTTGGACATCTGAAGTGTATGCCATATGAGTTTCATGAGCTTGGGTGTTGTGCTGGTCGAGAAATGACTGCTTTGCTGACGCGAGTCCAAATTTCGGCAAAATGGGGTAGTTGGCCGGTTGTGAGTATTCACGGATGATGGTGATGAGCCAGCATAGTTAAAGTGCACAGTGGGTATAACGAAGTAAACCTCACATGGGTAATACACAGAGTGTTCTTGTAGTCTTGAGATGCTTGAGAAGAGGTAATAATCGAGTAGATTGTCCTAAGGCTTAAGGCCTTTCGTCCAGTCTTTTATACATAAGTTTCTGGTACATGTAATGAGTATTACACTAACTGAAACTACTACTAGAAGTAGGTATTCGGCCCTAAAGGCGTAAAAGACATTAGTACTGTGTAAGTACTTCTACCATGAATGGTAGTATGCTTGGTGAGCATAGTCGTGTTTGCCTCATGTATTGGAGGCTCTACTTATGCTATTGGATAGCGACTGTCTATAGTGTCATTTATGATGAAACTACTAGGTACGTAGTGAGATACGTAGACAGAGACGTAGTACTTGCATGAGGACGCAAGTGTTCTAGAGGCGTAGCTCTATAAATAGTGTGACGCGTAAACAACACGTCAACAGTGTATCACATGATATCCATCATGTTCAACACTCCCCCTCACTAAGTTCATCATGCGATCATGGAACTAGTGAAATGTTAATCCTAAAGATTGCCTGAACAATTCGAACTTTGTTCTGCCAAGATTCTTCGTAAGAAGATCAGCAGGTTGTTTAGCAGTTTCAACGAAATAGATTCGAGTCTTTCCGTGTTCCACTGCTTCCCTGATGAAGTGGTATCGATTGTCAATGTGTTTTGTTCTTTTATCAGTAGCTTCATTGCTGCTGAGAAAGATAGCGCCTTGGTTGTCGCTAACACATGGAACTGATCGAATAGGGAAGTTCAATTCGTTCATTAACGACTTCATCCAGCAAGCCTGACGTGTACAGTCAGATAGAGCCATATACTCTGCTTCCGTGGATGATAATGCAACCGTTTTCTGTTTCTGAGAGACCCAGCAAACTGGTGCATTGGCAAGCTTTACGATATATCCAGTCTGTGATCGACGATCATCTTTATCAGTTGCCCAATCAGAGTCAGCAAAGGCAAGTAGTCCTTGGTTGGATCTACCATCGTAAATGAGTTCATACTTTGCAGTGTGAACAAGGTATTTCACGATGTAAAGTGCCTTCTGGAGGTGTTCCTGATTAGGATTAGCTCCATACTGTGACATCTTGATTACAGCAAAGGATATGTCTGGTCTCGTTCCGAGAGCCAAGTAAAGTAATGATCCGATAACTGATTGGAATCTATGCCTAATCTCGGGATTAACCTCCCCCTGGTTTTGGGTTGGGTTATAGCCTTCTGGCAAAGGCGTATATGCCGTCTTGGCGTTCAGAACTCCGAATTTACGAATTATCTTTTCAAGATAGTCTCGCTGATCAAGGATCAGTCTGCGATTCTTCCGATCTTGAGTAATTCGCATTCGCAGAAATTCTGTTGGCTCGCCTAGATCTCGGCATTCCCAGATTTTCATGAATTCGCTTTTTAGTCTGTTGACAAGGTTGCGATCAGGACCCATGAATAAAGCATCGTCAACATAGACGACGGCAATGACCATATTGCCATTCTTGTTGAAGACATATACGCCAGCATCGGATAAGCATCGTTTGAATCCCAGACGTTTCATGGATTCAGTACATTGATGCCACCAGGCACGAGAAGCCTGTTTTAATCCGTACAATGCTTTGCGTAACCTCCAAACCTTGCTGGAGTCCGTAACGAAGCCTTCAGGTTGTTCCATGTATATCTCCTCATCTAAGGCACCATAAAGAAATGCTGTTTTAACGTCTAGCGCAGAGATCTCCCAATCTTCAAGCGCTGCTAGTGCCAATAGAAGTCGTACGGTTTCGAATCATACTACAGGAGAGAACAACTCGTTATAGTCTATCCCTTGTTTCTGCGAAAATCCTTTCGCAACAAGTCTTGCCTTTTTTCGGCCATCAGACTTGATGTCAAATACCCAGCGGGATTTCACCGCTTTTCGGCCTTTGGGTAGTGTGACCACGTCAAAGACGTTTCTATCTTTGAGTGATTGTAATTCCAGTCTGCATGCTGCTTCCCAAGATGGTCGTTCATCTTTAGGACGCTTCTGGACTTGTTTGTATGTCCATTCACGAACGTTATCATAACTACTGGCTTGAAGACCATATAGTTGATGACCGTTATTCAGCAAGTAAACCAAGTAATTTTCTCCCCCTTGCTGAGCAAGATCGCTCATATCGTCATCTGTATCCATAGGAGCGGTTGGATCAGGAACCCTATTTGGTATTGTTTCAGGTTCATTTGTCGGATTAATCTGACTTTGCCAGCGTGCTTGAGAATCGATATCGCGTTCAATCTCAACAGGATGTCGATTTCCATAAACATTAAATGGACGGTTGGGAGTTACTCTATTTCTTGGAGGGTTTCTTCTGACAGCTGCTGGTGGAGGAGCTCGTAAGTTCTCCCACTCATCATAGTCAGCTTGGCGAAATCCAAATGGATTTGTATTTCCAGAAGAACCAGCAGACCGTGGATCCGGACCATACTGATTAGGATTGTGATCGGAGCCTTTCAGTGATCCGAATCCATCAGTATTTGGATGATTGCCGTTGTGCACATCATCGTTTTTATCATCCGGGATAGGATCCAAGGGAGGATCTCCCCCAGGCTGATGATCGTCATCATCTGATCCTGGTGGAGGTGGAGGATTGAAGAAATCATCATCATTGTGATGATCTTCATGGCCATCATATGGGTACGTTGGAAAGGGTATAGACCGGACAGGTTTGTCGGTTTTATCAAACTCTATGGATCCGGGCACTTCTTTCTGACATTTAGGAAACCAGTTCTCATCGAAAACTGCTTGTGGAGTAATGTATACAGAATTGTTGGTTGTTCGAAAGAATCGATAAGCTTTTGATCCGCTCTCATAACCAATGAAGATCATTGCTTCGGAGTGTGGAGCAAGCTTATTTTTACGTTTCGGTATGTATGCATATGCGCCACATCCGAACGTCCTGAAGTATGAAACATCAGGCTTCTTATTTTCGAACAATTCAACTGGAGTTCTGTATTTTCTCGAACGAATAGGAGTTCTATTGTAGATATGGACGGCTGTGAGAATTGCAAATTCCCACCAGTTTTCAGGCGCACAAGCCTGAAAGCGCATGGCTTCAGATTTTTCTCGTAGTGTACGATTAAATCTCTCTGCTCGTCCATTCTGTTCATGCACGTTGGGAGAACCTCTTTGTGGAAATATTCCTAGAGAGTTATACCAATCCCATTGTTCATTTGAAAAGAACTCTCCCCCTCGATCGAAATGCACACTTTTGACCTTTTTATTAGTCTGGCGCTCTACAAGAGCTAGCCAATTGCGCAATTTCTGATCTGTATCGCTCTTTTTACGAATTGGATATACCCATCCGTATGATGTTGCATCATCAAATAAGGTTAATGCATATTCGTTTTGATAGTAAGAGCGAGTTGGATATTCTATCAAATCACCGTGCACGAGCTCAAGAGGCTCCTTAGCTCGTTTTGAGGATAAAGGGTACGATTTAGCAACCATTTTGCCTTTGGCACAGCCTCGGCATGGTTTCGTTTCTTCCTTCAAAGTAACCAACTTCGTTGGAAGACCTTTAACATTATCCATTAATTTTCCTAAGACTCTGGGATCACAGTGTCCCATACGTCTGTGCCATAATTCAGAAGTATTGAAAGATACAACAGATGTGAAGGAAGTTTCTCCCACAAGAACCTTCGCGTTCATCCATCGTAAAGGATCATCTTTATGGCTTTGATAAAAGCTCATTAAAAGAGAATCATCTTTCTTGCTCCGGATCGAAGTCTCTGGAGAGTCCAGTATAGTATAGTAACCTATACTCCGGAACTTCCCACTAGAGATTAAACGATGTGGGCTGTCGGGATTATACATCACTGGGTATAACTTTGTGACTTGCGTCACTCCTGCGCTATTGGTGTGTCGTATGAGGACAGTACCATAGCCTACTATTTGCACATTTGCTTTATCACCCGCTGATGTAGTAAGACCTATTGGCATTTCCAAAGTCTGATAGTCTGAGAAATCCGTTTTATACGGAGTCATATGCGCTGATGCCCCACTATCAAGTAGCCAGGCATTTTGCGTATTTCTCACTTCACAATCACTCGAAAATGCAGCAGAAAACGACTTATATTTCGTCGTTGCATATACAGAAGTAATACTACATTTCCTTGGTACTGAGTTCCTTAGGATATGATAGTTCTGCATCGAGGATTTAGTGAAAGTTTGACTATTAGAACTTTGAAAAACTTGCCAGTCTCCACGATCGTTGCTTTCAGCCCAATCGTTATCAACTCCTTCAAGGCCATCTCCATTGTCACTATCATCAAAGTACCGTTCATGCCATTGAAGCGGTTCTTGATTCTGACTTTGGAATCCTTGGCGAACAAGAAGCTCTCGTCCTGTTCTGAGTTCTTGTTGATAACGCTGATTAGCTGCTTCTTCAACTTCTATCCAAGCTTCCAATTGGCGTCTATAGTTCTGCCATTGAACGAATCTTGTGGCTTGATATGGCTGATTGTTATTGACAACCAAAGTGATATTGCCAATACTTGTGCCATCAGCAACGTGTAAAGGCGGTCCATTGGTCCTTAGTCCAATTACTGCAGGTCCGTAATTCTCGAATTGAGAGTTTCG